ACTACTTTGTTGCGATTTATTTAATGTGTGAGTCCCTAGTACCTTCGACTACATGCATAATGAAATTCGGTCCAAAGGTTTTTCCTTTCTAACCATTCTAATTCTCCTTAATTCCCTAGGATCTTTAGTTGCACTTCTTTTGTTAGCATCGTTTACAAAATGTTGATATGTATCCTTTTTGTCAACTTAGAAATAGTAGTACATCCATGTTCATAAAATACCGTATTTCTCGATTCTATTAAGGTATTAACCTCAACTCAAATGTTAGGTCCCGTAATAAGAAACTTTTTAACATTTCACGCATAACCTAAGAAAATGCATTATATTCCCTTTTCTTCTAATTTCTTTATCGCAGGTTTAGGAAGTCTAACAATAGCGCCACAATCCTATACACATAAGTTAAGTAATTCGACATCTGACCTGCTATAAATAAAGTTTCAACCCTGTATCCTTAACTTAATTTTGAATTACACGACATGGCATTAACTATTTCAGTTGAAGCTTATTTTTCCTTTCTTCTGCACAGTTTCTTTGTGTAGTGGACGTTTCGTGAATTATACCTATGTTTTCACAAAATTCAAGAAAATGATATTCACGTTCTCTATCATTTCTAAGGCATTTAATGTTGGTGTTACATAGGTTTTCTATTTCAACCTTATAAAGTTTGAATTTGTCTAGGACTTCATCTGTAGTACGCATAAGATAAACATAACAATACTTAGAATAATCATCAATTAATATAACAAAGTAAAGTTTGTCTCCACTATGCAAATCACATACATCACTATGCACAAATTGTAACAAAAAAGTTAATCTTTCAACTTTAGGAATTCGATTCTTTATTATTTTAGTTCGAACACGTACTTTAATTTAAATTTTTCATTCGTATCATTTTTATAGTTAGAAATTAATTCCAGCAAACTCATGCCATACAATCTTCTATTGTTATTAGTCTATTGCCCGTGCAATGCACATGCAATGTGATTACGGAGGTAATGTTAGCGTTCCAAAAAAATATATTTATCTCCGTTTTTTGGTAGCATTTTCTTAAGTATTGAATGCATAATATAGATTTTTTTGACACTTAACAGTCAATGATTTGGACGAGATGTACTAAAATTATGCAATAAAAAAAATAAAAGCTCAAGTTTCAAGTATATGTCATTTTAGAAAGAAAATCAAATAATAAGAATGAAGGAGATATAACATTGAATTTTACAATACAAGAAAAGAGCGAAATCCTAGTCCAAACAAAAGATGTCACGTGATGAAGCTTGAATTTTAAAGGATATGCAAGTTCCATTATGTTATAGTGTTATCACTATGAGAAGCTTTTCTCCATCAATAAGAAATAGAAAATTAGACGTCGATTTAGATTAAGAGCATGTCATTGATGCTAACATCCTTAGAACAGAAGATGGAGTTTATCCATCTGTGCATATAGAAATGACAGAATGAGATGTGGATACATAGCTATTTTAGCATGAAAACAAATTTGAAAAGAGAATCTCACCTCATTAAAAGAATGTTTATATTAATAAAGGAGAGAATGATGAACCAAATTTGACAACGGAATGCCATTTCATTAAAGAACCCAAGGTAGACGGTATTCTTTTGACACGTAACATGATAACACCCTCACTCCAACAAAATCACCATTTACAAAAACCCATAATTTTACGGAAGTAATTTTAGTAGCCAGATGTAGGTCAGATACCTAACCCCTAAAGTCACTGTCTACTCTTGAGATTAATCTTTCTATTCCTATTAGTATCATCAACATGATCAGCTAAATCGATTTCGTCTGTACTCTCAGCAACACCCTTCAGAAGAAGTGGCTATTAGCTAGAATGATTAAATTGCAACCTATAACTCATTTACAATGGGGTTGTTGGCCAAAGATTGAGATTCCAGTAAATATTTTTTAGTTATATTCTAGGCCAGAAGATTGAGATCCGAGTGAATATTTTTTTAGCTATATTTATTTACTATATTTCCATTTTGTCACATTACTTTCGCTATTTCAATTAAAGAAAATAAATATAAGCAGCCCTATCTTTTAGACACTACAATTGACCAAAGATTGATTCAAATCGAGCAGAAGGAGCTCTAATAAAATGCACAAAATTAACATTCCAGAATTCACCAACTAATTCCCTGAAGCTTACTAGACATTGAACATCTTAGCTACTAAAAAAGGGTTATCATGATCTTCAACAAAACACGGAGAAGCACCAACGCCACCATGCTGCTGGCCAACATACAATGGAACCATCTTGCCATTCTGCTTTACTGGCAACATTATCCACTTCCTTTGCTGATAGATCATCAACATTTGTAGGAAAGACCTTCTCTTCTAGTTGAGAAGTCATATCTTTCGGAGCATATTCCTCAGTTGTCTGAGTTGTGTTTTTGTATCATGAATTACCAATAGGAACTTGCATTGAAGAAAAAGATGGAGTGAAAGGAAGATGTATTATGCAACTTATGGGGAAGACCACAAAAAATGATAATATTGCAAAGACTAAGGTGGGAAAATGAACGTGTTTTCATGAGAAAAAAATAGCCTGGCAAACTACTTATAGAAAGTAGTGCTTCTGGTAGAGGGGTAAAATGTGCCTAAATGAAGTAACCTTTGTTTTTGTAAGAAAAAATAACATGCAAAATATCCAAAAGCAAATCATCAATGTAATGTATAATTTCAAACGCCAACCTGAGGAACCCAAGCTTTAAGATTTCGATTCTATTTGTACTTAGTTCCGTCATCATCAGTGAATTCTTCCTCTCCCACAGGTGGTGTTGTAGGTCTTTCATTGTCATCATTAATGTTTGATAGAGCCTCTACTTCTGCTTCCTTCACCTCCTTTTGCCATTTTTCAAACTCATCTTCTTCATGTAGTTAAAACTATCACTAAATGTAGTGGGCTTATTCTGATATTAACTTATAGTTTTATCATCTTGAAACTCAGGGTTCTCCCCGTGATTGCTCTGTTTTCCCCCCAAGGCATCTCCAAACTGTCTGTCAATGATAAATAGAAGGAATTTGTTTCCAAATAACCAACACAAACTAATTTCTTCAGAACTTAAACAATCCATCTTTGTTTAATCAAGATTAGGAAAGCTTGCTTCGGAAAACAATAATTACCTGTTTGGAATGAGGAGAGCTATTAATTTCTCTTGGGAGCTTTGACCCCTCTTCAATGATTCTTGATCGAACCCCCCTTTCGAATCTCGACTATGGGTTGAGAAAGAGTTGAGATAGAGAAAGTGAAGGAGGAGGAGGAGGAGAAACCAAATATTTGTGCAATTGTTATTATTGAGAGTCGGTTTAATTAAAATTGAAAAGAAAGCCAGTCAACAATTGTGGTTATCACTGTAGAAAAATCAGATCAAACCAGTTAAGTGTGAAATGGAAGGTGCAAAAATGAACAGTGATTGATTCATCCTCTCTTTTATAGTAGTGAAACGTAAATTTCATAAAGACTCAATAATATACATGGAATTTGTAGTCAATAACATTCCGTTTGAACATGCCCTCATCCACGAAACCCTTTCCCACAAACAAACCACCCTTAGACGAATCAAACTTATTTGACTTAAATACAAGTTTGAAACCGAACTTATCAAGATGACTTTCGGATACATGATGCATATCGGCCAATAGTAAGGGTTTTCGAAGAAGTGAACTCATATTTGATGTTCCCTTTTTTCTTGAACAACAGCAGTTGTTGAATTTCACATGTAACAAACTTTGTCATCTTTAACGAGTTCATATGATTCCTCTTGTTATTTTTGGAAGAGTGATGTCTTGTGTCGTTGTTTCCTCCTCTAGTCAAGTTCAGTTAAGGGACAAAAAGACACCACTAGCGTCACTTTAGCAGCGCAGGTGCTCAACCATGTCTTCGGCTATTGTAGGTGTGTTGGTTTGCTATGAAAACTTGACACTATTTTGTCCAATTCCATCGTCTCTGTTCTTGCCCCTTCTTGAATCAATGTTTCTTGACTTGTCCAATTCATGATTCATCTTTAATTTAAATGTACTAATGTCCAAAACCGACATCATTGAAAATCTTGTCTAAAAAAAACACGTCAATTAATATTAAATTCGAAAAAAGTATGAAAAATTCCACCACTAATCTCTAATTGATGGTTCAAATCAATCGATAAAATGAGCAAGTTAATCCTCAACTTACACTATATTTTCACAATTTGTGCTTTATCATCAAGCGCGACTCGCATGTTCAAATTGATAAAATTGTTAGATTTTTAATGTGACGAATTTGTCCTTCATGAAAATGGCCGTGTCAATGCCATTAACTATTTACATGTTGAGGGCTAACATGCAACCCGAATGGCAAAAGTTGTGGACTAATTGTAAAATTTCCAACAAGAAAAAACAAATGGGGAAGAATTTTAAACCCTAGATACCCTCACGCGCAGATCACGTGACAATACCAAATATCCAAGAGATTTCATTAGGGCGCCGCAATCGCGAGCCCACCGAGAAATACCCCCATACCCTTTCCCTTACCGCCAGATCACTCGCCACGTCAGACATCCGCGTCAATTTTCTATTCAACGGTTCAGATCAACTCACCTTCTCCCCTTTCAGAAACACACCTCCATCTCCTCCTTTCCCCCTTTATTCCCCACACAAAAAATTCCCTAATTTTCAAAAAATTAAAATATCAGTAGTGGAATTTTCTGAGTTTAGCTCGAGGAAATATGGCTGTGTTTGAAGACGACGAAAAAATTGAGGACAAAATTGAAGAGGAGGTGGACGGTGAAGATGATAACGAGGACGACGGCGAAGGAGAAGAAGATGACGACGGCAGTGATGAGGAGGAAGAGGAGGACGTAGAACCGGAGAGTGGTAGTCGGGGACCGGCGCAGCCTGTATTTGGCGACGACGAAGACGACGAGGCTGGAGAAAACGAAGAAGACGAAGACGATGATGGCGACGACGACGACGACGATGATGATGACGACGACGAGGATGGAGAAGAAGACGAAGAGGTAATAATATAATAATTACTCTGTATTTCTACATGTATAGGTACTTACTTTATTATGATTTTTTTGACTTTTTTTGGTGTTTTTCATGATTTTTTCGTTCTTTTGGCATTATTTTATTTTGAAACGAGTAGATCTGGATTATCTGCTGATTTTTTCTGTTTTTTCTTGTGTACACCAACTATGCATATCAGCATACGTATATACATATACCATTTTTTTTACGTTTTTTGTTAATCTTTTTTCGTATTTTTGGTTATTTTGGCTTAATTTTCGTTCAAACTAATAGATCTGGAATTTCTTAGAAATTTTATTTCCAGACTTTTGTTGACTAGAAATTGTGATTATTTCCTTTTTGAGGTTTTACTTGGTTTCTAGCTATAAGATTTAAGGCAAGCAGAGTCCGTTGTTTGTTTTTCCTTTTAGATCTGTTCCCTGTTTTGTGAAATTTGTATAAAGTGGTCCTTTTTGGTTCTAGATCTGTCCTTCAGGACTACTTCTGGTCATTCCTGATTTTCTTTACAGTTAAAATGCACTTTCTTTGAAGTGAATTTATATTGGTACTTGTACATCTACTTGATTTTTAATGAAATTGTTATTTCATATATTTTGTTAAAAATGACCCCAACAAACAAATATTGATCTGCAAGGACACACTTGCATTCTACACACTTGCATTCTATGAAGCTTTAGGAAAAGTTCGAATTTGTCTAAGATCTTCCGCGATCCCGTTGGGTCGATCCACTTAGCGATTTTGTAAAAAATTATATTTTTGAAGAACGTAGAGTTAAAAATGAGTTTTAAACAAGGGAGCTTATTCTTGTGTTTTTGTTGGTGTGGGTAAGGATGTTTAGAGTTCTCCATGGAAATCTTGCGCACAAAAGGGGGAAATTGTAGTGCCAAGGTCCCTTTTTCTTTTCTTTTATGATAAATATACACCATGGAATATGGTCGTACGATGAGACTAATGATTAATGATACAGGAGGATCTGGGCACGGAATACCTAGTCAAACCAGTTGGTCATGCTGAAGATGAGGAAGATGCTAGTGATTTTGAACCCCAAGAGAATGGCGAAGAAGATTTCGAGGAGGATGATGAAGAGGACGATGGTGGAAAAGTTGAGGCACCACCAAAGAGAAAACGAGCAAGCAAAGATGACTCTGATGATAGTGATGGTGGAGAGGACGATGATAGACCATCCAAGCGGTAGATTAATGGGTCGACCCATGTTGGTTGGGTCAATCACTGTAGTCTGTTTTTGTTAATCCAAGGATATGCAATGTCCTCTTCTTCCTTGATGTATTATCTTGGCACGGTATCGTTAGGTTACTAGCAAGTTGTCTATTCTGTCTTTTATTTTCTAGATTGTCTTAGGTTGGATATTTCATGGTTTAAATATTGGCTAGCTTTTTATTTGGAGTTTTCTTCTCATTTATCTATTATAATAAGAATATTGGGGTAAATTTCATTGTGGTCATTGAACTTTCAGCGAAATCTCTATTGGGTCATTAAGTTCAAATTTTTCTCAGTCGGGTTACAAAATTGAATTTCCGTTTCAAACTTTACTACTTAATTTGTCACATTTCGTTATAAGTCATCTCTATATTGTTTAGTTGATAGTCATATTGTAACTAATTTTTTATGTAATTGCTGCCTCAAAAAATGGTAAAAAGGTTACAAGTTCAAGAAATGGTATCAAGTAGTGATAGTGTGGAAGTCCTATTACAAAAACTTGCGGGTTTGATGAAATGTGGTTAGAAATGAAGCTCGACAAAAATTTTACCAAATAGAAGTTTTACGAAACAAGCACCAAGTTACTTTGATCAATTTTGAAACAAAATTTGATAAGTGATTAAATTTGAAATTAAATTAAATATAACAGTCCCAATATAAAACTTAATTTGAGTAATCGAGTTAAGCGACACGTAAAGTTTAATAACCTGTCAGATGAAAATTTAGCCTTGAAGATCATCAAAATCATTAGCCCAGCACTTGATGAATAGTCGTATATTGGACATAAAATGATGCTAAATCGAAGTCAAGCAACTTACAGAATGCAAGTGTTGTTTGAAGTGTAGGTACGGCAATTAGAATCTGCTTCCCTGGGCAAAGGCTTTGTCCAAGATAACGTTCTGATTTTCATACAACACGATACCGTGATTTATCAAATGGAAATCAGTTGTCACAATCAAGTATTGAACTAAAAGAGAACCACAGCAAAACTCGAATTATTTGTTAATCAAAGCAATGTCAAAAAACCAAAATTAATTGAAACTGTTTCTGCAGCCCAACAATCTGTGTAAAACTACAAGAAATCATAATTCCTGTAAGCCACCACCATGATGATCTAATGCAAATACAAATCAAGCAAAACTGAATTGTCCGGCGCATTGTTTGACTACATTTGTCATGGTGGCAAGCTTCTACAGCAAAGTTCTTTCAGGATTCCTCAGAAAATGTGAACGAGGTCATACGCGAATCTTTTCCATGTTAAGGAATGGTTGGAATAATTGATGAATATGAAATTCTTGGACTTGACAAAAGCAAAAAGTACGAAAGAGAAGAACAAAACAAACTCTACAGATAGTCTTAATAAAAAATAAGCTATGTAACATCATAAGGATACGTCCAGAAGAGCACGAATGACTGCAAGAAATAAAAATAAACACAATTAGTTGCATTGGGACGAAAATGAAAACCAAAAATCATTAAAATTGAAAATACATGCATTAACAGTCCATGTGAAGAATAATGGCCCCCATCAAGTATTCTGTTAGCATCAATAGAATATTATTACAAACTTCCACATCGAACACTTGAGAAAAAATTTCAGTAAAATATGCTGCTTCTGATTAAATTACAATTTCCCAGCTTGCTCGACCCCACAAAACAAAGTTTCAAAATCTAAAAGATTTGATGCACCTTTACGACAAGACACAGTTAAAGGAGATTAAGATTCTCCTCCACTCAATATGGCGGAAAATAACAGTTTTAACTTATTGCAAAAGCTCACAACATTTTGTTATTATGTTAAATTTAGTAAAAACTTCCTCATTTTTTAGTGACACACATATGCTAAGTATCCCTTTCCCTCTAAGATTTTTATGATGCTTTCACAGGGATAATATTACATGCTTAAAATATAAATCAAGGTATTATCTATTCGAGAGAGACCAGGCTTCATTTACAAAATTGTTCAACTTTCCCTGTAGCCCAATAAATTCAGCCCATGTTTTGCTAATGTTTATAATTTGTTTATAAACGGTCGACCAACCGTGAGATCCACAAATACCATCCACTTATCCACTACTCATTTCTATCTATTTATAAATTAAACCTATTATAAACAACTCCAAGAATGACTTTGATCTCACGTTTCAAAACTCAATACATAATCTAAATCTGTAAAGAACCCAACATTACACCACAGGAATATGCATGAATTCCAGTCTGGGAAGATATAAAAGGAGCAAAAGAAGAAATCATAAAAAGAATACCAGAAGCCCGCCAAGAAAGCCGTCGAATATAATCCTGTTCCAACCATCAAAGTAGGAGTGAACATAAAAACTGGCCTTGGCAGCAAGTCCTACTGAAGTGATTGCCATAACAAGGAAATATAATAAAAATCCTGTCAAGCCAGTAAATCCCAGAATTCCAGCAATTACTCCTCCAACAATAGACATAAACGTGCGGCTGAACAAATGAAAAGACACGGTTTTAGCAGCATGAATACAAAATTTCGCAGTTGCAGAAAAAAGTGGGAAAATTGGTAACAGCAGCGACCAGATGATGGATAAAAAAAAAAAAAATATATGTAGACAACATTGAATTTAAGGCTGTTGATATTTGCAGTGTTGGATCGCACGATTTAAAATTCTTGAGTGAAAGACGTCATGAAGAAATCAAATCATAATTCTGCTGAATACAGGAGAAATGTATGATACGGAAGAAATGATTTAGGAAGAAAATTAACTTCTCAATTTTATTGTATGAAAGAAAGTATACTTATACACAAATGGAACTAACTCTCAGCTAATTACAGCTGGAGTGAATAACCAATTTGTTGTAACAGTTTAATAACAAGCAATCAACTAACTATCAACTGAAATAAGAAAGTATGAATATTATTTCTTCATCCCCCCCTCAAGTTGGAGCTTGATGAGGATCGCACAAGCCCAACTTGGACACAAGCCCAACTTGGACAGGAAAGCACCAAATGCAAGAGCAGGAAGAGCCTTAGTGAAGATGTCTGCAAGCTGCTGCTTAGTGGAAATGTATTGAGGATGAATCAATCCTTGCTTGAATTTGCCCCGCACTATGCGACAGTCAATTTCCAAGTGTTTTGTCCTTTCATGGAAGACGGGATTTGCTGTAATATGCAGTGCTGCCTAATTGTCACACAGTAAAGGAATAGGTAGTAAGGGGGAAAGACAAAAATCATGTAACAAGTAGGAAATCCATTGTAATTCACAAACAGTAGAACCCATGCTACGATACTCAGCTTCGGCAGAGGACTTGGATACAGTTTGTTGCTTCTTGGTCTTCCAAGAGATCAAGCAGACCCCAAGAAGATGCAATATCCAGTAAGTGATCTTCGAGTATCTACGCAGGATGCCCAGTCGGCATCACAGTATGCTGTTAACTGAAATGGATTATGTGCAGGAAAAAAAAACCTTTTTCAGGACAACCCTTTAAATAACGAAGTACATGAATAGCAGTCTCCCAATGAGATTGACACGGTGTGTGAACAAACTGACTAAGCTGTTGGGTTGCATAAGTGATGTCTGGTCTTCTAAATCCAAGATAGAGTAACCTCCCAATGAGTCTTCGATATCTATCAGGCTGAGGAAATGGTTTTCCCATAGTAATTGAGAATTTATAACCGGTAGAGGAGTAAGAGTAGCTTTTGCGTCTGAAAGTCCAGTGTCATCAAGAATATCCAGAACATATTTCCTTTGATGAATATAAGTGCCAGAAATGGACCTTGCTATTTCCAGACCAAGAAAGTATTTCACATATCCAAGATCTTTGATTGTAAACTGAGAATCTAAGAATTGTTTGGCTGCAATAATATCATCCTCATGTGTGCCAGTAATAAGCACATCATCCACATAGACAATCAGGGCAAGGAAACCAACTGTGGACTGTTTGACAAATAAGCAATTATCATGAGCTGATTGTTTAAATCCAAAGGTTTGCAAATGTGTAGTAAATTCATAATTCCATTGTCTCGAGGCTTGCTTGAGACCATATAGGGAGCGTTTCGACCTGCAAATCTGGCCTGGTTTGGCTTTAGAATACCCTTTTGGAGGGTGCATATAGACTTTCTCATCCAAAAAGCCATGGAGGAAGGCATTATTAATATCCAGTTGGTGGACATACCATGATTTTGATGCTGCAATTGCCAAGAACATCCTTACCGTAACAGTCTTAGCAACGGGTGAAAAACTTTCAAAATAGTCAATGCCTGCTGTCTGGTTGTATCCTTTGGCCAAGAGCCGAGCCTTAAATCTATCGATGCTACCATCAGAATTGAGCTTAACTTTGTATACCCATTTTGAACCTATAGCTCTCTTTCCTTCAGGTAAGTTTGTGAGTTCCCAAGTATGATTATTATCCAAAGCTGTGAGTTCCTTGTTCATAGCATCAACAATGTCCTTGGAAATAGAATTTAATAACCAAGAGGTAACCATACAATCTACTCTTTTCCATTGATCAAAATCGGTGGAGTTTTCTTCAGGCATTTTGCATATGCCATTTATGAACCCCAATTTTACTTTTGCACCTAGGGCTATCCTTACAGAACGACTCCATGATAGGTAATTGTTACCTGTTAGTGGCGTCGATACAAGCATCATTCCTGGGTGATCTGATCCCTGCACGTGCAGTGGGTCACCATTATTGTACGTCCGAATTTCCACTGTTTCTCCCTCAGTCATATTTTCGGTTGAACCAGATCCAAATGATCTTGCATTATCAGTCATTTTCTCAATCAAGGAAGATTGCACCACAATTGCTATTTTATGTAATAGCTATTAAGTGAATAGAAGTAATATCAGATGAACTAGGCTCTGATACCATGAGGAAATCAAATCATAATTCTACTGAATACAGGAGAAATGTATGATACGGAAGAAATGATTTAGGAAGAAAGTTAACTTCTCAATTTTATTGTATGATTGGAACTAACTCTCAGCTAATTACAATTAGAGTGAACAATCAATTTGTTGTAACAGTTTAATAACAAACAAACAACTAACTATCAACTGAAATAAGAAAGTATGAATATTATTTCTTCATTTTTGTTTTCTTTTAACAAGTCCATCCTCACTTTATCGACCTCCACTTGGTGATACCCGAGACATTAAATTGGTAGCCTTTTGATCTTTTAACTTCAATTAACAAGCTTATCAATTGAAGTTCATATATGAGCAAAAGTAATCTACAAAAACAAAAACATATAAGCAAAACCCAAATCATCAGAATTATCGCACATGCACCATAAAGATCAATTTGAGAGATTTTGCACCAACACAAATAATAACTGTGTAATTCTAGTAGACAATTAACTAACAGAGCCATCTTATCGAAGCACTCTTCCCAACTAAAATCCAATCAAATTACAGCAAAAAAATTATTTAATAGAACTGGGATTTCATAGAGGCAGAATTACATCCGAGTACAATAGAAAACAAACCTATAATAAATAATTTTTGCATTGTTTTGCATATTTTCGGCATTGAAAGTCGGTAACTCATCTGTGAAGTCACTAGCTGTCGTTCCAGGTGCACCCAAATTGGCCATAGCTTTCTCTTCTTCCGACTTTCGAACAAGCTTCTGATGATGTGAAGATATAAAATTAATTTAAAAATATGAGCCAAGACTAATTTCGTCTATACCTCAGAATAAGAAATCGATGAAATGAAATCAAACAAAACTATTGAGTATCTACCCGTTAAATATAAACAAAAACACAAGTCCAACAATGCACATGAATTAGAATTTAAACACATACACACATCTTGGCAAAAAAAAATTAGGTGATCCAGGAAGAAGTTCTTAAAATCATTAATTCGATAAATACCTATAAAAATCCTCCGAAACAAACGCCAATCTAACTTAGATGTGAAATTCAAGAAATTTATCAGTGACCCATGATAAAAATGTCAACTTCCCAGAAAATTATGATGCGAACATTATCACACCCAGTTATCCACAATATTCCAAGAAAATCAATAACTTGGGAAGTTAAAACAGATCGGTGTAATAGGGATATTTTAACATCAGAAATTGAACTTTAAGAAAATATATAATAAATTATGAAGTGATTAATAGATATAAGTAACTGTAAATATAAGATTGTGAAGGTACCTTGAAATTTGCAGGAGATGAAAAGAATCTGAGGAACACCGAACACTGCAAGTCGTTGGCGAAATTTGCAGTTTATTGTAGAGTCCGCATTATTGTTGTACTATAAAGTACAACTAATAACTCTGGATCAACTTGATTTGATAAACGGGTTCGGATTGATTATTTTTGGGCTTTATATCAACAACGAAGCCCAAGAAGGAGCAAATTAAGCCCACGTTTGAGCCCCTTTTTTTTGGGTAAAAAAAATGCATTTTGGAACAGTGATATGATTGAGAATGTATGTTTAAAAAATGAAGAAAAATATTAGATTTGCGTGTAATATTATTTTATTGAAAGACGTGTAGTTGAAAATAAGAGAGACAAATGTATTTTGGAAATAATGGGTACCAAACAAGGGCTCATTTTCAACTGAGTAATGCTATGCAACCCCATTGGGATTACAAACCCAATTTAGGTGACTCTAAATGATAGGTTAAATGAAAGATGAAATTAAATGACCACATTAACGGCAGCTAAACTGAGGTTGTAATGCTATGTAGCCCCACTGGAATTACAACCATAGTCTATGTGACGTTAGTGTGACATTAAATGATATGTGAAATTAAATAAGTCATTTAATTTCACATTTCATTTAGTCTATCATATAGAGTTACCTAAATTGAGGTTGTAACCTCAGTGGAGCTACATAGCATTACTCTTTTCAACTACACATTTACACAATAAAATATTTTATACGTAAATCTAAAAAAATTTCTTAGTTTTTAATTACACATTTTTCGAAAAATCATTATTCAAAACTCTAATTTTTTGAAAATAATGGTCATCAAACCGGGGTTAAGGAGCACATGTTTGACTTAAATAAAATTAGATTTTAAATAAATTTTGTTAGAGCCTTTATTTTCCTTCCATCATTCTTATATATTTATCCACTTAAAAAAAATTCTATATTAAATTTTTAATCTTATATAAATTTACTTAAATAGACGAGTAAAATCAAACAGGCTCTTAATATTTTATTGTTGACAACGATCAACGATTTTAATTGTTGATTTTGACATAAATTTGAACAAACTTTTTTAACTGAATCAAACATAACTATATGAAATAAAAAGGGATAGTATAAATATGTAAGTTGCATATCCGATGGTTATTTAGGCAAAATACAAAACTTGCTTTAAACATGTGATAATCAAGACTTATTGAAGCAGTTAGTGGTGTCAATATGAGCAGTTGGAACTAACATGTACAATTCGACTTATTATATGAACTGGTCCAATCGAGCCAGCTTTCGTGGATGTCGAGGCGGGCTTTTCTCAAGTTTCTTACTTCTCTTAAAGTTTATCATATCTAAATCTCTTCCAAAAAAAACTGCATGAAATTGATTAAGCCATTATACGTCTTTTCATTCTTCAGAGCCTACTCTTGCTGGAGTTGTGGCTGGGTCAGATTCCATAACCTCTGTGCCTTGCACGTGCCTTCAACTAGTACTTGCTAAAACATGTCAACCGACCAAAAATAAGTGAATAATGAACAAATACTTAATTTTCAAAGAATCAAGCATGACAAGTTTGACAACTTAGAAAATTTAGCATTATGGCAACATTTATTTTTGTCTCATGGTTTACGCAAATGCTCGAAATTTTCTAAAAGTTGTCTATTTATTTATTTATTATACATGTAGACGGTGGACGGCTTAATCAGCAAGCTACACTTTGTATTTCACCGAATGATCCAAATAAGATTTGGCTATTTTTCCGTCAGCTCCTTTGGGGTAAAATCCTCCAGGCCTATTCTCTTTTCCACTTCCATACACGATTCTAAGTATTTCCTCAGGTGTTCGACCAAATGCCAAAGAGAATTCGTTTCCAGCAAGCACGTTCCCAGAAATTCTACCCTCGGCACCTTGTGCGGGAGGAACTATTAGTCCTTCATCTTTTATTCCATCTTTTCCCAGCTTATTTCGTAGATCCGATATTCTGTTAGTGAAATCGGCCACCGTGAATTCATACGGTAATACCTTTACCTTTGCTCGCTCATAAAGGAGCGCTCTTATAACCGCATCTTGCCCTGATTCCACGCCCAAAAGCCCCGCCACTAGCTGATCATATCATATATACATACAAAATGTTAGAGCCAACAGCGATTTTGTGTTCAAGATTCATCACTAATCATCGCTTGTTTAAAAAAAAAAATTGTGCACAAGTCAGGTCTTTGAATGAAATCCGACACGAGGATCATGGTCTCGTGCCACCAATTTAAGTGGAAGTTTGGTGGAGATTAAAATTATATTTTTAGTAGATGGTGATAGAAATTTTTGAAATGTATGGTTGAAAAGACGTGAGATTCATGAAAGATATGGTTAATATTGATTGTTTGACTTTGACTTAGATTAAAATTTGATTTTAATCCAAAACAAACAGGGTCTAAGTAAATTGTGCGAGTGTTAAAAACAATGACAAAATGAAATTGAGCTCCACTAGGAGACAAGCTAATGACATTTTATAATACATAAATCTACCGTCTATTCTAATAGTTTAAGCTTTTAGTCGTGGTGATTCAGTAATAATTTAAGTTAAACATACCGCTTTAGCTGTAGAGCTTTGGAGTTTTGGATTCGCCCCGACATAGCCGGTGAGTCCAACGTAAGGAATAACGTAGGAAGCGAGAAGATAGTTGATGTCATTTGCATAAGGATCAAAAGGAGGAACCAATGTTTTCCCAAATGCGTTGTTCATAATAGTAGCGAATGAAGATGCACTTAGATTCAGTAATGGCCTGGGAAATCCTGGAACCGTCTTCTCAATCGCCCTGCACAGAGTAAACATCATGCATTTTTGTTAGTTAGGATAAACGCCTAAAGCTTGTTTGGTACAAATTAAAATCAGATTTTGATCAAAGTCAAAATCAAACAATCAATATTAACCACATCTTTCATGAGTTTCACAACTTTTCAACTACACATTTCAAAAACTTCTATCACAATTTACTATAAATCTAATTTTAATCCCCACCAAACACCCCCTAATCTCGTACTATCAAAAGCAATACTTACACGCAAATAAGTCAACTCAATTTAGCCCATGTTTGGTATGAGAATAGATTACGTAAAAAAAGTTTTTTTTTTTTTTGTTGAAAATGCGTGGTTAAAATCATCGACTGTACCTACCTCCTAACAGCTTAAACTTATAAAAATCAAGATAATTCAATCGATGTTCTTAACTACGCAAAAAAAATTCAGATTCAGTTATAATAAAATGAACCTCAGATGTCCAAATTCTTGAAATGCAAATTGTGTAATAATATCCTTCACAATTGGACTCAAATCGGCCTGTTTAGCGCCGATAGGAGGCGGACCGCCCATGGCGAGATTCGGAGCTAACTTATCCAAGCCATAACCCAAAGCTCCCCATGAGAAGAATTCAGCTTCCAAATACTCTAAATTTAAAGGGAATTCCAACAGATCAACGTCGGATTTCGGCAATTTTTCTGCATCACTCTCTGTGGATAACCCGGCGAAGCTGCCGAGGCAGTTGAGGAGGAGGAGGAGGAGTAAAAGAGGCTTTACTGCGGCGGTGGAAATGGACAACGCCATGAGAAGAAGATGGCTATTGGCTAATTTTTGGGTTTTCTTCGTTTTGTAATTCAGTCGATTTCTTCTCCTATATATACACCACACATATATTTTGTTCAATGCCACGTGTCAAGAAAATATGAAGTCTAAAATTTGTAATAAAACCACGTTTAGATTGAGGCGTGTAAGTAAGTGATTTGAGAGAGAGGCTTGGACGTGATATTGACATTTTCATGCATGGTGAGGTCGTATTTGAGTTTTGGAAATTAACATAAAAAATATTAAATTTTAGTATTTTAATTATTTAATTAGTCGGACAATTAAATACTGAAAATTATTGAAGAAAAATTGAAATTTTTGTATTTCTACTGTAAAATTTTATTCGCTATTATGTGACGAACACTCTTTAAATGTTCGTGTTCGTAAGAACTTTCAAATCCTGCATTTCTTAAGGTCATATTATTTCATGTTAGTTTGAGGTATAAAAATTGAAGGAGAAAATTGCTAGCTATATAATATATGTCATAATTTAAAATTTGAAGTTATAATCATATTTTTTTCACTGGGGAGTTACAAAATGTATTTGTTTATCATTTAAAACATTCTTAAATTCATAGTTAATGAATCCAAAAGATGAAATTCTTAAATTCATTGGCTACATGAATGGGAAAATGAGGTTTTCCAAACTAGAATTTATTCATAATAATCTTGTAATTATTACTTGTAACTTGATATTGTTGGAATTCGATTTGAAATCACCATCATATATGGATATGGGATGCCAAGAATCGAAATCTTGGATTGATTGTCGACGGATAATAACTGGAATTCTATGTCTCGTGCCTCCAAGAACTTAAGCACGTGTTTAGTATGTTAATAATATAATTTAAACACGTGCTTAGTATGTATGTTATTCTTGATATGTGTTTTAAATTTCTTTCAATTAACGCAGCCTCGTACCTCCAAGTTTTCTTCGATATTGTTCAAAAACTTCAAGAATATTATACTTTTTCTTTTTCTTTTTCCACAATTTTCCATATATTACAATATTTCCAATCTTAATAGATTTTCGAATGTATCTAGACAATATGAATGTCCATAGTCATAGTAATAATTTTGGTAATTGCAATATCATGTAATATGTCCATATTGATTTTAGATATTTAATTTTGCAGTCCTCGTTAAATTATAATTTTTGTAATTTATCCACAATTCTAATTTTGAAGCCATCAAAGGCATCTAAAGCTTCAGTTAAATAATTATTGTACCGATCAATTCTTGATCGTTCAAGATTAATCAATTAGTTTCGACTATATCCACTAACGGTTGAAACTGTCCTTTTAAGTTAATTCAAATTATCGAAACTTTTCATTAACTAATTTCTCTTGACACGTCGTTAAAAATTTCCCATCAATCGTTGAAACAATTACAAGTAACTTTTTTGGACCAACCAGTCACTTTTAATTGTTTATATAATATCGCAAGTTCCATTTTCCACTTTTGCAATTTGTACAAGTTAATTGATTGAATTGCTTGCTAGAATAAATTACGTGACAAGTTCTATTAGTTGACAAGTTCATTCTAATTTTCAAAGGAATGAGCTATTGGTTATATAATTAATCTTTCTTAGTTGTCTCAAAGAAATCAAACTCATAATTAACGTTTACAATCCGGTCAAGATTTAGACGTATGCTTGACTATCCAATTATAAATATTATTATTTTTATTACAAAAATCTAGATAAAATTTAATAAATAAAATATCACCTTATCAAAACAAAGTTTATAACACTTTAGTTTTGTACTTAATAACACTGTTAAATAATTTTTAAAAATATTCAAATAACATAAATTAATATTTATTTGTTCAAAATATCAAGTCAAAATATACATTTGGACATCTACATTGAGATAAGCTTTTTTTTTTTAAATTGACGTAAGAATACGCAGTTGTTACATGTCAGTGGAATCCCGACCATCCCAAAGGGGCAGAGGCCCGATCACTGTGAGTGTGCACTAAGTAAACCTCGCTTCATGTGCAGTAGACCTTAGACCACACATGAGAGGTAAACCACACTAAGCAAGCCCGGTGCAACAGACTCGACGAGGAAGCGTTGACAGAAGATTCGAACTCGTGACCTTTGACCTGCGCGTTCACCTGCTCCACCAACTCGACCACCTCCGAAGGTATTGAGACAAGCTTTAATAATATTAGAAAAGATTACAATTTCTTCTCAAATCTCTTACGTCTCTCTATTTTCTTGCTTGATTTTAGTTGAATTTATAGTTTCAAATTTCTCCAATTTGTTTTGTTATCTAGGTGGGAGTTTGATCCATATGAATGGCTAGATAAAGCCAAACTCTCTGTTTTCAAGAATGTTGAGCATGCTGATGTTAATAAATGACTAAAAGAAAGAGACTGATTCTCAAAGATAATTAATTCTATGCTATGCTTAGAAAAACAACAAATTCTGGAGAGAAAAATATTTCTGGTTTCACAATTCAATTTGATGACTTGAAGCTATATATCAATATTTATATGTATGTTTCTCACCCTAGTCCCTTTTATTTATTTCTTACTCCAGTTCAGTCCCTCATAGTTGTTATTTTGTTACAAGATAACAATGAATTTGTGTAAATTCCTTTATCAAACAAATGAATGAACTCTCATATGTTGTGATTAATGACATTGACATGCTCATCCAAAGTTATAAAAATCTAATCTCCATAATTGAAGAGCAGTAATATTCTGCATAGAACTAACTAGTAATTAACTTTTTATTTGCATGTGAACGTTCCTTTATAATTAAAGTCAAGATATAAGATAAAGAAACATATATACAGAACTGATTTTCTAAGTATCGATGCTTAGTTTATACTAAATATAACTTATGCCAAGTGGTGACAAGCACGCTACAATAGGTAGTGAGAGATAATTGTTGATTACAAAATTGATAACACCATATCTCGATTATATGTATACATATCAGGTTTTATCCTCATCAAGACGACAAAGTTAGATAAAGATGAGAGAATTAATTGTAATAACCATGTCATCTTTAATTTTGACTTCCGCAAATGTAGATAAGCCATTGATAATCATGGTTTGATGATAATTTCGGGGAGAAACTTCACAAAGATGAATTGTGTTGTAGCACGCCTTTTGACTGACGTGTTATTTCAATCCATTGGTTGATAAATGTACAGTGAGTCTCAACATTTAAATTTAATTTGTTATCTAACAAA